TGACTGTCGGGGTGCTTACTGGCTGATCCTTGGCCTCTCAAAAATATTACTGATGTGCCAAAGGTGTAAAATCTTGGCAGGTGTTAAAGATCAATCCAGTGGCGGGGAAGCTACATGCAAAAAAGAGAAAAAACTAGAATCGTTCAAACTCATTTTTTTTGTTCTCCTCTCCTGCTCATTCACAGATTTTTTGTAGGCGCTGGAAATCGGTGGTGCAAGGGTGAAGGGATAAATGTTGCAACTTCGATATCAGTAAAATACAGTTTGTAATGCTCATCTATTGAGCATATGTTAAATTCAAACGCTGTTAACAAATCAAATCGATTGACCTTTATGTTGACCACTATATCTACTTCTGGAGTTTTGATCTCGGTACGACGCCCGATGACACCGGTAAATTGACTGCGCATTGTCTGAAGATGTATGCGCATGCCTCCGCGCAGTCCATGTTCTCAATGGAACCTTGCGTGCAGCGTATATTTTACCACGAGTTCGTGAAAGTTCCTGCGACTGGCTTAAAAATATTTGCTTTGCTTTTCTAGTAAAGTACCAGCAGAGTCTCGCTGAATCCCGACTACCCTCCCCAGAACAAAAGATTGTAAATATAGCTCCGCCTAAAGATGATATATTATCAAGAAGTATCTGACTCTGTAACATTATGCACCTGCTAGTTATAATATTCACACATATATTACACATCTATTGGTCATTGAAACATAGGTAAATGTGATAGGTTTTTGTTTTTTATAGTTTGAGTTATAAAACTGTAAAGTTTTACCTTAAATAATAGTAAGAGAACACAGCTAGCCAGGTTCCGCGCCCTTAGACTGTTTCGAGTACTCCTGATCCATTCTGATTTATTAAACATATGCGCAGTTAGCTTTGTTTCTGAAAGGAGATTATTTGTTGACACTTTGGATGGCCTTACCACAAACAAGTTACTTCACGTTATGTAGTCATGTAAAGTCTATTCAGTCAGTAGACAATATTTGTGGGTGGACTATATCTTACATGCTGTTCGTTGAATCGATTTATCGTTATTATGGTTCATATGGCGTTAGATTTGGAAATAAACCTAACCTAATCCAACTGATGACAGAGCTGGATGGAAAGTATAGAGTCAACCTACTCTCCATTTTTTCAATATTTCATAATCTAGATTTCCTCTTTTTTGTTGTACGCACTCATGGAATATGTTCATCGCATTTTACATAACGCGCTGAAGCGTCTTACTTGACAATTTCGCCAAGGATATTACCTTTAATATTCCTTAGAGTACTGATGTAAATTTTGCCCTGGAGCTATCTTTACTGGAAGATGTTTAGTGGATAAAATCAGGCGATAACAATGGCCATGTGATAACAATAAAATGAAACATCAGCTTTTGTGAAAACATCTTACAAAGTTGGTCCATGGTGACCTTTCGGTGCGGCAAGTGACCCCATCCTGCTGAAACTACGTCTGGAAAGTGTAAGCAAAATGTTTTACGATGCTGGGAGATAAATAGCTTGATATCATATGCCAATATACATCACCAGTAATATTTATCATTACACATCTCGTCAACACCAAAAGAAATGCCACTGACTTGAAAGTAAAACGTCTTCGCAAAGTAGGTAATTCATCCTCTATACCTACTTCATCGTTATGCAAAATGCGACAGATTTCATTGCTTGACAAATCATTGTTCATTTGTCTGGATCGTTCTGAAAATAATGTATTCATATTTAACTGATTATATATGAGAGTAGATTAGCAACTAAATGTACTTGTGTTGCATCGTTCAACAGGTCCAGATTTTTGAATCTCGAAGCACCTTTGAATTATTGAGGAGTCAACTTGTCTAGTACGTATGACACCCAAAAAAAAACTTAACAGAACATGAAATGAGAAGTGTATCCCGCTGATGATAGCGCCATCTAGCGTGAGATATACGGTACTTTTATCTATGTCTGCTTAAGTCCGTTCAACCTGTGCGCCTCCATAGTTCATTTCAAGTAGAACTTATATTTAACATATTCCTGGCCTATCTAGTGGTCCTAACGAGTCTCATACAAAGACAAAGTTTACTCGAAACTCCAAAGAACAGCATGCTGCACAATAAGCGAAACGCTGAGCACCTTATACAACTACATGCACCATTGTTTGTATTTAGGAATAGCCAATTGGAACACAAAACGCACCTCAGCCACTGCACTAACAGATAGAGAGAGCAGTCAGCCAACATCATTGATCCCCAGTGAATACCCGCTAAGGGCAGTGTTTACTAACAAACAGAAGTGAGACCAGAGGCGTCACAAAATTGCCCCAAGGGCCTCAATAGTGTTACCCCACAACCGTACATATCCTGAATAGGTATCACAGCATTTTAACAGCAGTTACTATGATTGGTGGAACATGATCTTGCCAAATGATGTCCTTCGTGATCTGAACTCCGACAATCCACTTTGGATAAGATCGGTCATCCATCAGGAATTCGTTTTGTGCTTGGGCCTCTCTTGATGAACAATACATATACATACTTACACTACTCTTTCCAAAAGCACTGATTTGCATGACTTTATTGCATCTCCATGCGGTGTAATACCAAGGTCTTTCGTTAGACAGGAATTCTCCTTATATTCGCTTCAGATACAGATATCTGCTGTATTGAATGTCTGCATGCAATGTAATCTGCAAAGCTATGGGTCGGGTTGACCATACAGCAACATATGTCGTTAATATACAGGGTGGCGCATCGAAAACGAAACAGACGCATTTACTGGCAGCTCAGTTTTTTTTGGAAAATCGCTCAGACCCGTCGATTTTGTTTTCGAGGGGGACACAAGTTTGGCAAAAAATCACGTTAACACGAGCAGCCCCTGGGCGGAGGTGACACCAACCCTAAAATCTTAAATGGAAGGAGGAGTCGAGTGATACCTTATTTTAAAGGTCTTTCAATTCATTTTATAATGATGTAAAATACATGAGCTTCAGTTCAGTAGTTTTGAAGGTTTATTGATTTAAAGTTTAAAGTAGACTATAATAGGTACATCAGATTAGTTTGTACTATTTTCAGAAGAAATTTGACTAAAAGAATTTACTTAATAAGTAAATGCTTTTCTTCACTACGCCCATGGTTTGCTTATCATTTTGTTGTTGAAAATAGCTATTGAAGCGTTTTTTTGTGGCAAAAAAGTTATTTCTTGAAGAAAGATAAGAAAATATCTCGTACTTATTTTAAATAGGTACACAGTTTGCGATTGATTTGACCAAACTTTGTTGCTAAAATAAGCTGTAAAGCTTTATTAAATAATTTAACTATGGTATATTCCAGAGTAGAAAGAGTTGAAATTATCGAAATATTTTTCGGAAATAATCAGTGCGCTAATAGAAGAGCAGAAATATTTAATGAGCGACATGAGATCAGTAACGTGCATCGAAAATATGTTCTAGAACTTGCAGCTAAACTTCGGGAAACTGGGTCAGTCGCCAATAAAAAACGCAACATTGAAAATCCCATAAGGAACGAAGCAATAGAAGTGGGGGTTTTAGGGTTTATGTAGATCCTACGTTAAGTACCCGCAAATTGGAGACTGTGTGGTGTTAGTCGACGTACTGTCCAACGGATTCTGAAGGCCCATAGTTTTCATCCGTATAAAATTCACCTGGTACAAGAATTTAATGAAGACGATTTTGATCGGCGATTACAATTTTGTGAAGATATTAGTCAACGAATTATAAACGTTGAACATTTTCTATTCAACACTTGCTTTTCCGACGAATGTTCCTTTTTCTTAAATGGCGTAATAAATCGTCATAACTGCCGATATTGGTCCGATTCTAATCCCAGAATTTATCATGAGGTTCATACACAGTAGCCAGAAAATTAAATGTTTGGGTTGGTATTTTTGGCGATCATTTAGTTAGTCCTTTTTTCTTACCTGGACATTTGACCGGTGAAATGTATTTGGTATTACTGGAAGACGCCATAGATCCTGCATTAACAGCCATAATTGAAAATCAGAATGATCGGCGGTACATTGCGAATAGGTTGATGTTCCAACAGGATGGTGCCCCACCACATTACGCATTACGTGTTCGACAATATTTAGATCAGACGTTTCCAGATCGATGGATTGGTAGAAGAGGTGCCATTGAATGGTCCCCAAGATCGCCAGATTTATCACCTTTGGATTTCTTTATGTGGGGTCATTTAAAAAGCAAAATCTGTGCTACTCAGCCAACATCATTAGAAGACCTGCGACAAAGAATTGTGAATGAGTGCCTTCAAATTACTCCTCAAATATTGCAAAATGTGCGTCAACGTTTTGAGCAAAATCTTTATTATTGCATAGAGAGTCATGGTATCCATTTTCAATATTTACTTGCCTAACGGGTCAGTTCATTCTTCATTTAAAATTACTTTGGTGCCAAATGTATTGATCTCCACTAATGATGATGTATTAGTTTTATTTAAGCTTTAAATCAATAAATCTTCAAAACTACTGAAGTACATTAATTTTCTATCATTATAAAGGGAATTGAATGACCTTTAAAATAAGGTATCACTCGACCCCCCTTTCCATTTAAGATTTTGGGGGTGGTGTTACACCCGCTTAGGGGGCTGCACGTGCTAACGTGTATTATAGAAGCTGTATTGGAGAAAATGCCAATCAATGGGAAACACCTGCATTAACATTCCGAGATGCAGAAATACGGCGCGAATCTCGCGACCGGCAGGCTATTACGTATCTTGAAAAGTAACATTATGTCGGTTTTTTAACATTATACAGTACAACCTCGATAATCCGAATACATGCTAATCCGAAATCGCGATAGTCCGAAATAATTTCGTTCCTCGACAATCCGAAATCGTATTGCGTCATACGTTGATAATCCGAAAAATCGTGTCATAGCCTGTCGAACTTCTCAGTACATAGGCTGTTAGTTTCGAGTGCGGTGCGTTCTTAGTGCCTAGAGTTAATACGCGTTTGAAATATAGTTATAATTCGTGCACCATGTCTAAGAGGAAACACAAGACACTTAGCCTTGCGCCGAAATATGAGATAATTCAGAAATTAGACAACGGACGAAGTCCAGTGCAGCTCGTCGCAGAATATGGAGTTGGGAGGTCAGCCATCACAGATATAAAGAAAAAGAAGACCCAAATTGCTGAATACATGAATTCTCATCAACAACAAACAACACATCTGACTTTGAAGACGGCCAAGCACCCCAATGTAGAGACGGCGTTGTACACGTGGTTCCTGCAGCAGAGGACCAAAAATGTGAACATTTCGGGCGAAATCCTGCAAGAAAAGGCGAAATTTTTTTACGAAGAAATTACGGGCGGGACGACTTTGCGGCAAGTTCTGGTTGGTTGGATAATTTTAAAAAGCGGTTTAAAATTCGTCAGTTAACCGTTACGGGAGAAAAACTTTCGAGCAATTTTGCAGCAGTTGATCCATTTCAAAAACTATTTCTAAATAAAGTGCGGGAAATGAATTTGGGTCCGGAACAAGTGTATAATGCCGATGAAAGTGGGCTATTTTGGCGGGCGCTACCCAATAAGACATTAGTACATAAAGACGAAGACTCAGCTCCGGGACGAAAGATAAGCAAGGATCGGCTTACTTTCATGCCATGTGCAAATGCATCCGGATCTCACAAATTAAAGCTGTTCACAATTGGAAAAGCTGCCAATCCTAGAGTATTTAAAAACTGTCGAAATAAGTTGCCCGTGATTTACAAAAATCAGAGATCTGCTTGGATGAATCAAGAACTTTTCAAGCAATGGTTCCATGAAGAGTTCGTTCCCTCAGTGCAAGCTCATTTAAAGCAAATCGGTTTACCTCCTCGTGCTCTTTTGCTGCTGGACAATGCACCTAGCCATCCCGAACAAAAAGAACTGCGGAGCAGAGATGGTCTAGTCTGTGTCTTATATTTGCCACCAAATTGTACCCCATTGTTGCAGCCGATGGATCAACATGTCATTCAAGCTATTAAAATACACTACAGGAAGCAGCTTCTTCTTCATTTAATTGCTGATGATACCGAACCTGCAGAAGCATTAAAAAGTTTCAATTTATAAAAATGCAATTTTTAATCTCCACACGTCGTGGGAGAACGTCAGCACTGAATTAATAAAAAAATCATGGAAAAAGCTTTGGCCTTTAAATATCCATGAAAATTTGGGCGATGAATACGATGACGAAGAAGACTTGATGCCATTAGCAGAACTAAGGAGAAGAGCGATATCAGATGAGCGAGAATTTGAAGAAATGACGGTTCTGATGAATGTCATCTCATCAGGACCGGATCTTGCAGCGAATGAAGTTAGAACATGGGCCTTGGGCGACGCAGCTGAAAATGAGCAAATAACATTTTCTGATGAAGATTTGGTAAACATTGCATTAAGCGGCAACAACGATGACACCCCTGAAGACGCTGAAGATTATGAAAATTTAGCAGTTGTGAGTCACGGTGAAGCCGTGCGATGTTTTACTGCTTGCATAGAGTGGGCGACAGAGAACAGTGTAAGCGGTCCAGAACTGCTAATTCTTCGCCAGTTACAGGAAAAAGCAGTGAATTTACGCTTTAAGCCGCATAAGCAAACTGTAATAACTGATTTCTTTACCCAATAGATTTATGTATACATAATTATGTATGTACTGTACTCATATAAATACATATGAATGTTAATTTAAGTTTTTTTGAAGGAGAAAGTTTAATTTTGTTTTACGTGCAGTATTTAACTGACCACTGTCCTTGGTTTGTTAAATTTATGTTTTGTTGAAAAGAATAAAGTTTATTTTTTAATACTTGTGTCTAAATTTATTATTTTCACTAGTTTCACGATAATCCGAAAATTTGATAATCCGAATGCTCGGTGGTCCGAATCTATTCGGATTAACGAGGTTGTACTGTATAGGTTTTTTGTCACATTATGTAGATTTTTCTACAAGATGTCACCATAGCACTAGCTGTTACTCGGTCTGTAGATATACGAGTTGCCTAAACGACATGATGCTTTAGCTCTCAGTATTTGGCTATAATGTGATGTAACATCGGCTCTATAGTAGTCATTACTGGAGGCTTAATCTGTAAGTTGTATACTATAGCTGGATGGAAACGGCAGTACATAGGTGCATAGTGAGGATTTCTGTGCCAATAATCGGTGTTGATGATAATTCCAATCTCTCGCATACGCTTACTTGAGATGTATGCAAAGCTAAAAATTAGTTGCGCATCAGCTTTCTCTTATTCTACCTGGAAATGACATATGCAAATTTGCTGAATTTCAGAAAAGAGAGTGACAAGGAATGAAATTTCGTGGTTGGTGAAGTATATTAAAACTAATAGGTGAAAAAATATGGTACATACAGCAATATTTATGAAACGTAAAATGTTATTACATTTCACATCAATTTTTGTTTCCATTCAAAATTCATAGAAATTTATTTTTCGAAGTCAAGTAGAAAATACAAATCAGCACCTAGATGTGAGGCAGTGCATAAATGTTTTGTAAGTTATATGTCGTTCCTAATTTTTCTGTGTTGTGGCTTAATTACACACAACGCGGGTGCGGTGCTGATTCCACATACCTAAAGCAAAGTTTTGAAAACGCAAGAAATGGGGAAAATCGTAATGTATAACTTTGAACGTAGCCTCTCTTCAGAAAGGACAACACAGATAACCTGCCTGGCACAGCTATAGATATATTTCATAGGAAATAATGTTCAGTAATCATTTTCAAAAGCAAATATCACTGATTTTATACACATGCAGACCCATACACACAATCATCCAGATGTGATCTTGCTACTATGCCATTCAACCTCACATCCTCTCATTGTATACTCGACAGACTACCTCGGCATTCTTCAACCAATAAAGGCTAACTGACTGGCGTCGTGTCTTTGAGTCATTCATTCCTCTATAGATTACGCTCACAGGGCTCAGTGCAAGCAAATGCGAAATACTATTTGCACACTAGGAACTATCTAGGTAACAAGTTGACGTTTTGTTGTTTTTCTGTTTGACCTTTCATGGGTGTTTTACGTATTAACCCTGCTGAGAGGAAGGCATGACCATTAGATGGAGGCTTGCGTTTTTAACCCGGCATCCGACAGGTGAAATTTTATTACAAGTTCCGACAGGTGGGGCGTGACAAACCCCAAATATGGGCAGACTAATTTTGTTGCATGTTCAAGGCAAATAAATGTTTCACAGGTCTGACAAACGTATCTGCTCTTTCTGTCTTTAGCTCGGGGACATTCTGAACATCTCCCCTGTTGATTTGGTCTCACCTTCTTCGATGGAGGTTCAGGATTTTCACCCAATATTTTCCGAATATTTCCTGTTAGCTCCCTTGTTAGAATAGGGTTTTTCATTCTGCTTCTTTGAAATTCTTCTGCCAACTGCATACCCTACTGCTTTAAAAAAATTCTTCTTGGTAATTTGATGTTAGTGTTCTCTCTATATATAATATAACTATTAATGCCTGCAGTATTTAGGAGGGAGAAAAATAAAGTTAAAGGCCAACGTGGACTATTTCTCGAAACATTGTATGTTGCAGATAACTCGTCTACTACATCAAGGCCACATATGGTAAAGTTATAAAAAGATATTATTTCTCGAAGTTTTTTCTCTGACTCATCTACTGCATCATCGTGATGTAAAGAAGATAATAGCAGGACAATTTTGTTCTTTTTCGGGCAATAGGATACAAGAGTATATCCTTCCTGGAATACAAATAAGCTAGAAAGAACTTCTCGATTATTTACAATCAAAAAAGATGCTGGGAGACATGGTTTATTTTTCCGTATAGTTCCCACCGCAGTCAGTTTGTGATCCTTGCGCAGAATTTCTAAAAGCTCAAGACCAATTGTCGAAAGTAATGTTACGGTTCGTTCCTGAGACTGGAGCCACTAAGCGGCTCAGTATGTACTTAGGAGTATTGCTGACATTAAATATTCCCTAGGGTTGCTTCCCCACATAGACTTCCATATTGAGGACCTAATTCGATCGCGCATGTACTAAGGCGTGTACCTACTTTTATGCTGTATTTTGCGGGCTTATTTGGCATGTATTGGCTGAGGGAGCACCTGCCAAGAAATGAATCCAGTTTCTCATCGATTGTAAGATATTGAGACGGCAAATAAGCCTTCTGACAGTTGTCAACAAATCTATCGCAAACAGCTCTAATAGGGGCCAACTTATCCAATTTAACCCTATCTTTGCGATTATTTTTGTTGTCGAAACGTAAACCAGAAATAAGGAATTCTAATCGCCTTTGACTCATGTAGGTGGAAATATATCCATTCCAGTACCATCGGTATTCCATAGCTCATATAAAAATCGGTGGTTATTTTTGAAAACTCCTGAGGTACAAAAGGCCGAGCACTGCTTTAATTTGTGCCGGATTGTTTTATCCGTAATGGGGAGACTCCTTCCATTTCTCAGATTTTTCTATGACCTTTAGATTCGTATTTTTAACTATATCTGCGACCATTACCTCATCAATAAATAGGAAAAAGCACTCAAGTGGAGTTTTAGCCATTTTCGCATGGTTTTTGACTCCTGGAAGGCGGGTTATTATGTTTTCAGATCTAGTTCGAACATTTCTATTAGGGCACTCTTTGAACCATTTCATCCCGTTTTTTCCAAGAAAAAGAAACGACGTGTGTCTAGGGCCTCGGCTTGTGCTTGATCAGCTTGATCTGCTATAACTTCAGCATTTTGCTCCAAATCGGGATAGTCGCTGCAAACACTTACATTATCTATTTCATCTTCTTCTGAATCGTCTCGATCGAATGCTTCATCTTCATTCTGTCCTCCCAAAGTGCCCAAAGCCTACGTTGCTCCTTCTCGTATTTATATAGTTCTGAAATATTGTTTAAAAATGTAAAGTTTCAATTAAAGAGTTATATAAAATGCGACTCAACTTTATAATCACGACAAAATGTGAAATAAAACAACTGAAAAAAACTCCGAGTTCCGACACGTATGGTATGACAAACCCCAAACAATTCTATGATGATACTACTCACTGAAATATAATTTTAGTGACATGGCGGGATGTCAAAATTGAGAGGTCTTTACATTTAGTGTCTTACAAACCCTATAACTTACCAACATATGAAAACATTTGTAAAGACCTCACGATTTTTAATGGAATATCCCATAACTTATTGTATAATCAGATATATCCTTCCGAGAGAAGAACGTTTTCATAAGTAGTTGTTAAGTTATAAGCGATTTAATGTACACAAGGTTCTACCGCAATAGCCGGTAGGGCTAGGGTCATTTTGGAAGGCAGCAAATTTATATTCTAGGACTATAAGCCCTTTTAGATGCGCCAGTGCTTCTCACGTTGGCGTTGCGTGTAAAGGATAATGGGTTAGAGGAGAGAGAGCCAATACCTGAAAATGGCCAATGGAGACCTGTCACTGTCTTAGCTATCTGTTACGGTCCCGGCTACAGAGTCGTTGTCGACCTACATTATCCCAATCAATCCAGTTACGTGAATTCCTCATGAGACAAATGTTTAATGAATGGATTGACTTAATGGTCAGCAGCGGAAATAGATACATCAATTATCTCAATTCTCGGATGTTTGATGAAATTACACGTATGCAGATTTCCCAGAATATCATCGCTGTTGCAGGATAGCGAGTTTCTCATGCATTAAGCAGAAAATAATCCGGAGTGACGGTACACTAATGTTGAATGCATTAAGACTATTTAATGTAGTCCCAATAGTGTCAACAGTTTCACAGTATGTCGCTGATTTAGTACAGGATTTGCAGGCTTATGGGTTTGTCCAGTTTCTTAATAAATACTACTCACTGGTAAGAATTATTTTGGTACAGGTATTAGAATTAACTTCTTGGTGAACTTGACAATACTTTGAACTGTGGTATCTCATTCTTCCCTCTTGATGTGTCAAGTAGATACTGTCGCACTTCAACAGACAAATATTTTGCAATGTTTCTTGCTTGATGAACTTGACAATACTTTGAACTGTAGTATCTCCCTAGATATTGTCGCACAGACAAATATTTTGCAATGTTGCAGCTAACATTTGTAAAATTTATTTCTCTCATTATAGACTAACAGCTATATATCTAGGTCGCCCAAAGCAAAATCCAATCTCCACATGGCAAGATTAATCTTGCTTACGTGTCGCAACGGAATATCTTACCGAAAATGAACAAGAATAATACAATTCTGTGCGAAGCTTAAGGGCTGCGGAATGATTAAATGTTACTCTTTGGGTATTATTCTCATGTTATTTCGGAGATCTACCCCAGTAACCTACTTCCTCCTTATTTGGGTTACATCGTTTGGATCACCGTTACACTTAGTAGGGATTTCCTCGAACATTGATTCTTTATACAGGTTTGCATATTAAAAATGTATACCGGACAGGTATAATTAGTGTCAGAAATATCTCTGGTCTGTAATACGCCAATCCAGGAGGTATCTATTTAACGAATTATTGGTGAAATATCCGAAAGTGTTCTAAAACCTCGTTCTTGTATGATGTGTAAGTTTCTGATTATTTTAAGGTGTGGTTATTTTCGTATGTGTCTAACGGAAAATAAAGTGAGGAACAGATAGATAGGTAGGCCATTCATGT